TTTTTTTTTTTTTTTTTTTTTTTTTTTTTTTTTTTTTTTTTTTTTTTTTTAAGTTTTAACTGTTTGAAAGGAAGACAGTGATATCGCATTGGCAAATTCCCCATAGAAACAAAGAGTGGAGCAAAATAATAATAAAGGCACCTCAACTTTTTCTCATTGATGGAGGACAGGCTTAGAATATGCATCCAGATATCCTCCAATCACACAAGCTGAAAATGGTTCCACTTTACTGCAGTTCTGTAACCATATGGGAACCAATCCTGTCTGTGTTCTGTGCACATCCAAAATTCCTGCTGAATGACTCGCCCTGGGAGCAAGTTACCAGTGACCCAGGGCTGGGGCGGAAGGAGGGTGCAGGTGGAGGCGGGGGGAGAGCCCAGGGCTGGGGTGGCAGGGGGTGGGGTGAGGCCAAGAGCTGGGGCAGCATGGGGTGCAGGTTGGGGGGGGAGAGCCCAGGGCTCGTGGGGTGGGGGCAGCCACATTTTTTTTTGCTTGGGGTGGCAAAAAACCTAGAGCCGGCCCTGCAGGTAGGTGCCTGAGGACGGAGTGTGGGTGGGGCTACACCTGGCAGTTTGGGAAGGCAATGCCTTCACCTGCCTCTGATACCCGCTGCCCATGCTGTCAGGGGTGTGGTGAGCTCAGCTCATGCCTTCCATGCCTTGCCTGGCAGCAGCACAGCCACATCTGGCTTCAGTCCTGTGTGTGAGGAAAGTGCCTCACATGGAGCTCTAGTGCCCATGTCTCCCTAATGACAGGCTGGGTCCTGGGCATCAGTGGCCAGGGCTCCCTGCACCTGCACAGAGGAAGGAGATTGCAGGGCAGAGATTTAGGTGGATCCAGAGATCATGGAGAAAATCTGGGAAATTAGGAGATTCTGTGGCTCTGAGAGACTGAATCTGAAAAGGAAAGAATTGAATTAACCCGGATCCACAGTGTTTCCTACCTTGTATTTCTGGGCAGCCTCCTCTATGAGAAGCACCGGGTGAGATCTGTGCTCTGAGGATCTCCAACAAACCACACACACGGCTTCCCCGTCCTCTTCACAGAACAGATCCAGGGGTTTCCCATGTCTCTCACACAGATTCTCATTTCCTGGTTTGAAATCTATTTGTTTGATTTTTTCCACTATATTTGCTAGCTGATAGTTTTTTCGGAGAGCCCCTTTCTGGATTCGGGCTCTGCAGCTGGGGCAGCACAAGGGGTCAGAGTCCAGCTCTGCCCATGTCTCACAGTGCTGAGTGATGCAGACCTGGCAGAAGTTGTGCCCGCACTGTATGGTGACTGGGTCTGTCAGATATTCCAGGCAAATGGGACAGTTGGTTTCCTCTTGGATTTCCCGTACAGGAGTCCCTGAGGCCATGGCTGCTGGGATGTCTGGGCTTCTGTTCTCTCTGCTTCTGCTCCAGATCGTAAATTGTTTTGTAGATAGTGGAAAAATACAAATAAATAAATAAAATGTTAGTTTTTATTCCATTCCATTTGTTTTATGAAAGACATTTTTTTCAGTTGATTCATTAAAAAATAAAATTGTAAAAATGAAACTGCGACGGATTGGACCACAGAAACCCCCTTGGGAGCTGCCACCTGATGTACCAAGACTACCCCTGCTCCTGTTTTCCCTGCCAGCTCAGGACTCCAGCACCCTGTCTTGCTGAGCCAGACACTCCTGTCTGCTCCAACACAGACTCAGGGTCTGAATTACTTGCCCAAAAGCTGCAAGTTTACCTGAAAACAGCTCACAGAAGTGTGCTTGTCCTTAGCACTCAGATGCCCAACTCCCAATGGGGTCTAAACCCAAATAAATCCGTTTTACCCTGTATAAAGCTTATACAGGGTAAACTCATAAATTGTTTGCCCTCTATAACACTGATAGAGAGATATGCACAGTTGTTTGCTCCCCCAGGTATTAATACATACTCTGAGTAAATTACTAAATAAAAAGTGATTTTATTAAATACAGAAAGTAGGATTTAAGTGGTTCCAAGTAGTAACAGACAGAACAAAGTAAGTCACCAAGTAAAATAAAATAAAATGCGCAAATCTATGTCTAATCACACTAAATACAGATAAGTTCCTCACCAGTTCTAGAATGCTCCCTTTTACAGGCTAATCTCCTTTTAGCTTGGGTCCAGCAATCACTCACACTCCCTGTAGTTACTGTCCTTTATTCCAGTTTCCTTCAAGTATCCTGGGGGGATGGAGAGACTCCTTGTTTAGCCAGCTGAAGACAAAATGGAGGGGTCTCCCACGGGTTTAAATAGACTCTCTCTTGTGGGTGGAGACCCCCTTCCTCCCTCCTATGCAAAGTCCAGCTCCAAGATGGAGTTCTGGAGTCACCTGGGCAAGTCACATGTCCCTGCATGACTCAGCCTTTACAGGCCAAAGCCATTGTCCACATGGTATCTTGTATGTCTCCAGGAAGACTTCTTATGTGGATTGGAGCATTCCAAGATGCATTGTTCCCCAAGTGCTTCCTGATCAGGTACTTACCCTTGCAAATTCCTTCCTAAAGAAACTGATCAAATGCCTCCCAAAGCTTACTTAGAAACCAAGCAAGTATACAGCCCAAATTCTTAACCTCAAGTAGAAAATGATATATGTGTATAGATAGGATGAATAGATATAGTAGACCATAACCTTTATGGAGATATATTACATGGCACAGGCAGCACAAAACATATTCCAGTTATATCATACATACATTTATAAGCATCCCCCCCATAAAGCCTTATGGGGTAGGGGTACACTGTCACAGAAACAAAAATAATTTTGTTCAAAAGTAGTGATGAAAAATAATTTCCCTGGGTTAACCATGCCCACAGATTTGCTCATGAAAATGAGGCTTTTCACATGGCAGAGAACAATCTGTCTCACAATATGTTACTTTGCCTCTCTCACAGGCATGTCATCAAACCTTCCCTAAACACAGGACCATAAATCACCTCTGCTATCTTCTCTTCCATAGCTCTGTGGCCACAAAAAATACAAGGCAACGTGAACTTGACCATGGGATAACAATGTTATCCTGGATACACACAATCAGTTGGGTCCCAAAGTCCTTGTTTAAGATGCTTAAGTCTCAGTTTCAGAAGCACTTCAATGCAGAAAATAGTGCAGTGGTGCCAGATCCGGGAGGGTCCAGGGGTCTCTCCACTTTTTCATATGGGCATAGGAGCCTTGGGAAGGCAGGAAGCAGCAGAGGCAGGGGCTGCGATTCGCAGTGGAGGAGCTGATCATGCCCTGCCCACTGTTCCTCCTCTTCCCCTTGAGGTCCTGTCCCCTGGCCAGGCTGGAAGTCAGAGCCGGGTTGTGGTAAGAGCTGCCAGGGAGCCTGGGCTGCTGTGGGGAACCCCATATCTTCCACCTGCCCTGAGGTGCAGGGACAAAGGTCAAGGGCTGCTCCTGGGCACCTTTGGAGGCCTTCCCAGGGCAGTGGAGTTGTAAGGATAAGGCCTTTTTCTGTAGCCATATTGTAAGGCCTAAAGCCTAAGGTCTTCGTCTGTGGCCAGATTAGAAGAGCTGCAGCCATTAGCTGAGAAGCAGGAAGTCACATCCTCTCATTCTAGCTAAATTACATTAAAAAAAATGTTAATATCAGGCTGTTAAGAAGGAGACCCTGTCCTAATGGCACCCACTATCACCAGATAAGGAAATAGATCTTAAGATGGTCGAAGAAAACTTAGTTTGGTAGCATCCTGTCTGACAAGAAATCACTTATCAGTAGTTGTGGTTGTGAAATCCTCATTTCTTTATTGTTTTGTCTTTATGGTCCCCATTTCCCCATTGTTTGTCTGTATGATCTCTGTCTGGTTCTCTGATAGTTTCTGTCTGTTTTATAATTAATTTTTCTAGGTGTAAATCAATTAAAGTGGTGGAATATAATTGGTTAGAGAATTACATTACAATATGTAAGGATTGGTTAGTAACATTTTAGTATAATGATTGGTTACGGCAGTGGTCCCCAACGCGGTGCCCGCAGGCACCATGGCACCTGCTCGGGCATTTATGTGCGCCTGCCTACTGACAAGGGAGCACTTCCACCGGACAACCCGCTGCCGAGGAGCGTGGCCGCCAGACAACCAGACGCCGAAATGTGGCAATGCCAAGAAGCGAGCTGCTTCTCGGCGGCGTTTCGGCAGTGACGCTTCTTGATGACGCCGCTTCTCTATGGCATTTTGGCGGCTGGTCGTCTGGCATCCACCACACTCTTCAGGGAACATGAATATGCTATTGCAACAGAAAGGTTGGGGACCACTGGGTTAAGGTATAGCTAAGCAGGACTCAAGTTTCACTATATAAATTGGGGTCCAAAAGGAAGGTCTTTGGGAACCAACTCCAGGACACAGCCCCAAAGATCAGAGCTGCCAGACCTCAACACTCTGCCAATGACCCTGTGCAGAAACTGGAGTCCCCCAGATGGACCTGATCCTGACCGGCCATCAAGAAAAGTTTATCTGTCTTATTGGGAGTGGGGAGCATTGTATGCTTAGCGTGTACAATCTGTTTTGGTGATTGTTAATAAATAGAGGATATGTAGGATATATAAGGCTCTTTCACTGGTAAAAGACCCCGCACACCCGCGGAGTAGAAGGTTACGCCTGAGCCCTAGGAACCAGTGGGTGTCCCTAGAGTGTGTGAGTAACAGAGAATTTTGTGCAGGTAACAGTGTGTCTGGGGCTCCCCACAGAAGCTCAGACTCTCAGGGTGGCTCTTACCACTGCCCAGCTCTGGCTTCCAGCGTGGGTGGCACCTCAGGGGGAGGAGGAGGGG